GCGGGATGTAGATACAGGGAATGCGGAGGGCTGAGAAAAGAGGGACGAAAGCGGGGTGCAGGTCGGTGGACGCTGTGCAGGAATGTGGGGGGCCGAGACGAGGACAAAAGCTGACTACAGGGCGGGGGTACGGACACGAGAGGAGCAGAACAGCGGGGTGCAGATCGGGGGCCGCCGGGACACACGAGAGGAGAGCGGGGTGCAGGTCGGGGGCCGCCGGGCAGAGGTGCAGCGCCGGGGGCGCGGAGGGGCAGCAGCGAGGAGCGCGGTGTGGCCGGAGGGCGCAGGGCCGGGGTGAAAGGGACGCGGGCGGACACCGGGGGGATGGAAACACGGGGCGCAGGGCTGGACACGCGGCGGCCCATGCAGACCCCAGAACCGGGGACCGCGGCCGCCAAGCCTGGTTCACCTTGATGAGCGGAGAGACCGGCACCGGGGGCACCATCTTGTCCCTGACCTTCGTACCGGAAGCACAACCCGGGACGCCGAGCAGGCGCAACGGGGAAGCGCCGCTGGAGTCTCTGAGCATGCGCCGTCGGCTCAGCGCGCGTGGGACGTCACCGAGCGCGCCCCGACCGGTGGCTCTCACGCTGCGCCTGCGCAGTGGGGGCTCTGGGCGCGCAGTCCGTTTTCCATAAGCAGAGGTGCACTTGGGGGTTCCCACCTTGCATCCTCGGGTTCCCCACGGCCGCGCCCCCATCCCCGGCTGCCCCGACCACCGTCAGCCGCACTGCAGATCCTCCCCTAACATTTCCCGGTCCAAGCCGAGGCCCGCACACTGCATGTCAAATGCAGAGCAAGGTTCCGATCTGTTTGCCATGGGGTGGCTGAGTCGTTGTCGACTTGATGGCACCTAACAGTAACAGGTTCAGTTTACATCAAAAGCAAGCCCAGTCCTTCCTCTGAGGATAAGGTCTGGAAGGCAGGGCTGACTCCCCACGACATACAACCTCCTGATCTGGTTCCAGGGGACCAGGCCCCCCAGCCCCTCTGTCCCTGAATGACATCCAAGCCATACCAGCCCTACGACCACCCTGTAGTCCGGTGGTGAGCTCACTTGGATAGGGATGGGATTGAGGGGGAGGGGGCGGTGGCTCTAGGAGGGGTTCCTGGCCCAGAGAATTAGGGGGCCTGGGTACACAGCGCATTTCAGTGCGGATGGAGAGGGCTGGCTCCCAGCGCAGTGATCCTCTGGAGCTGCAGACAGGCCAGGCGGGTCAGGATCCCAGAGCCCTCCCCCAATTCCAGTGACTACTGGGGCCACCTGCCCACCCCAAGCCTGAGCCCTGAACGCTCTCCTTTCCTCTTCCTCCATCTTAGGCTGCGCCTTGGCCTCCCTGGCTTCCTTGGACCCAAGCACCCAGCCCACCCTGCTGAGACCTCAGGGATCTCTGAACCTCTCCTTTCCACCCCTCCTCTTCCCCAAGTTCAGATCACACCCAGTCCGCTGTAGGGCTGGAATGAGGGGCGGCCTGGTCTCGGAGAACCCCGGGTGTGCAGAGAGGAATCCCAGAGATGGAGGTGGTGTGACCTAACCCATGGGGGCACAGCTCATCCATGGGAAATCTGAAAGAGGAAGAGAACCCCAACATCCATTTTTCTGATCCAGAGTTCTTTGACAATGAAGATGTGACACCCCACCCCAGCAAGTTCCCTACTGGGATAAAAAGAATACTTGTTACTGGAAAAACTCATGGAATCGATCTTTGTATAAGATTTCTGAGACTGTAAATTATAATGGTAGGAGTGGCTGGTGGATTTGAACCACCATCTGACACAGGCATTCCGGTTAGCAAAACAACACGCAATGGACCAGGCTTTCAGAACTGCTACTTCCCCTTGTTTTTATGTGCCTTTGGGTTGGCTACGCCTTATTATTTTTTGTACATAGGACAAAAAAAAAAAGACAAAGTAAAATATTACAATGAAACGTGCAAGGAGCTGGAGTCA